TGATTCAGTGACTGGGATAATTGGGATGGGAGTGTCAGAGACAGTGCGACTGGCACAGGACAGAGCGGAGTTTAGGGCTGTTGTACATAGGGTCGCTATGAGTTGCAGGCGACTCGACGACACATAACAACAACAACAACAACATTTAAACCCTCACAGGTCACTCATTCCTTCCCCTCAATTCATGCATGCCCTTTACTTGGAATGCCTAATTCCTTTTTTCTCTTCAGTTCCAAAGCCCTTATCCAACATTGTTCAAGCAATGTTGTGAAGCAAAGGTGTGAACAGGAAGAAATTTATGAGCACTCCCCGACCCTGGTGAGATTTCAACATCTCTAGGAGGGTCATTTTCAGGTGGAGGGGGTGGAGCATAGTGGTTAAGAATATGAACTCTGGGGCTGGGGGTCGGCGGGAGAAGAGTATGACTTCTAGAGTCAGGCTAGCCAGATTTAAATTTTGCCCATACCATTGTGGACAAGTGATTTTTTGTACCACAGCCAATGCATTTAAAGCTATGAACAGCTCAGAATAGCTCTTGGTAAAGAGCATGTGCCATGGGTATGTGTATAATTCCTGATCTCCGTTATCATCAATTTTAGTTGGGGAACAAAGTTCAGTAGATTCAGTAAGACACACCTGTAAGGCATATTCGGATCTGGGGCTGCCAGTTCACAAGTTTGGTATTGCCTCACAAAGTTATGGCCCAGAGAGGTTATTAGACTTGCCTGAGGCCATAGACTGAAGACAAGAGTCCTAGTCTGTTCAAGAAGGCATGGCATCTTGGTATCCCCTCCTCCTCTTACCTGTGCTCGCATTGCTCCCAATACTGTTGATGGTTGGTGGCACGGAGCTGGGTGGGTGGAAGGACACATGTCCATTTTCCCGGGGCAGTTTCTCCTGCCAGCCTGGTCCTGTCTCCCCAGGACCCAGCTCTGCAGGGCCCCCCCACTCATCTGAGCCCTGGTGTGAGTGATAGGCAGGTTCTGGTCGGGTTCGGAAGCCACTAGCTAGCCTCTCTTCCAGGTGGCTTAGCCAGAGTGCTAGTGCGTTGCGGTCCTCCAGTGTGGTGGCTGGGTGGATGAGGGCATAAGAGAGCAACTGGCGGCTCTCCTCAATGAAGGCATTGCTCTCGATTGAGTAGGCCAGGACTTTCTGCAGTAGCCTCATGTACTCTGTCTTGGCCTCCGTATTGCCTGGCTGGAGCAAGGGCAGGTGGGAAAGTAGGAGGGACACCACTTTCTCTTTGGACTCCTGCTGCCACTGGCTGACGATGGCTGCAGAAGGAATGAGAGAAGATGTCAGGAAAATAGGTGGGCAACAGCTATAAACCTCTAAGAGATAGCTATATGCTCATGCAAACTCCATCTTCTCCTTTCATGACCCCTGGTCTTGTGATTCTTTGTTGTTATTAGGTGATGTCAAGGATGACTAATAGCAATTCTATGAACAACAGATCTGAACCCTGTCTTGTGCTGTGACTCTTGGTTGTTGTTGTGTGCCCTCGAGTTGGAACCAACCCATAATTAATGCTCAAGTGCGTTTTCAGAAACAGTAAACCACACAGGAGGAGAATGTTCATCTTCTGGTGAAGCAGCTGGTAGATTTGAACTGCATGCCTTTAGGCTTGTAGCACAGTTTCTTACCACACGGCTCCCTCCTATGACTCTTTGTCATTGTTGTTGAGTACCGCTGTGTCAGAAATGACCCATAACTGAACCTCCAGTGGACTGTCAGAGGTACTACTTCACAGGGGAGGAGAATGCCCATTTTTCTCCTGCACAGAAGCAGGGAGATTTGAACCACATACCTCTGCATTGGTAGCCTAGTGGCAAGAAGCTGTGCTGTATTCCCGAAGGCATGAGGTTTGAGGCGACCAGCTGCACTGTGGAAGAATGCACAATCTCCTTCTGTGTGAATAGTGCCTCTGAGAACTCACCACAAAGTCAGCTATCAGTCAGTTCCAACTCTATGGTACACAAAAACACCCACTACCTCTGCGTTGGCAGCACATTTCTTTATCACTAAGCCTCCAGAGCTCTCTGTGACTCTTTTTTGCTGCTGGTGTGTACCATCAAGTCAGAAATGATCCATAGTTGACCCTTTACCAGGTTTTCAGAGGGCAGTTAATCCATGAGAGAATGCCCATCATCCAATGGAGCAGCTAGTGGATTTGAACTGCATGTCTTCGGGACTGCAGTGAAGCTTCTTGACACTAGGCAAGAAGTTCTCTATATGTGACTAGGTAGAGTTCTCTGTATGTGACTCTTCAGCTCCCCCTATATCTCAAGACGCAGTCAAACATATACTCACTTTTGCCTTCAGAGTAATTTCTCTTGATTCTACTTCTTGTGCTCTCAGAAACCTGCTTTGGCTCCCAAACAGCCAACCTGCTGTCCTGGAATCTGAGTTCCTCCAGCTGCCTACAGACCTGTGACTGTAGCACTATTTCTCTTTTTATCTTCATGGCCTAGGAAAGCAGTGGACTATAGTCATTAAGAGTCTGGTTGCTTATTTTTTTGCCTTGGTGCTTCCCTCCAAGCAAGATGGGTCACCAGCAGCTCTACTGGAGTCACCTGCGAAAAGTCGGCCAAGGTTCCCACTCTTGCCGGGTGTGCTCAAACCGACACTAACTGATCCGGAAATGCGGACTGAATATGTGCCACCAGTGTTTCCGTCAGTATGCCAAGGATACTGGCTTTATCAAATTGGACTAGATGATCTTCCTTGAACGGCCTAAGAAACAAGATCAACACTTTGTACATAAAATTTCAGTTGCGATAATGTGAGGGGAAAGAAAAAATAGTCTGGTTGTTGGAGTAAGCTGGTTCAGACTCCCCAATTTAGTAGCCAATCACTGATTTTCTCATTTGTAAAACCTTGGAGATAATTTCAATATCCAAAACAGTGCTGTTCAATGAGCTAATTAAATTCAATGAACTAATTAAAACGGCTTAGCATATACAGCATAGTTAATAAATGGTCACTGTTGTTTTTAAGATGGTCTCTCTACCTTTAGATCCGTCTTACATATCCAAATGGATTTATCTTTCTAAATTATCAGGAAATCATGTTCCTGAATAGGGTTTACAAGGCAACCCAGCATCAAATGGATCAAATCCAAATAATTCTTGCCCAAAATCATCTTCATTTCCATGGCACTTTTCACTTCCTGCTCCTCCAGATAAAAACTCAGCTCAGGAAATCCCCATCTTCCCTGGAGTTCTCTATTTGCCACATTCATTCCAGCATCCATACTCAAGCCTGAGAGACTCAAAGCTTTAGCCTGAACAGTCTCCGTCTCCTTATTTAAGTTCTATTAGGACTGCCTAAATCTAGGAAGCCTCCTCTATCTATCCTGTGCCGTGGAATTCTGGTAAACTTTCCTTCCTATTCTATGGATAGGAGTTCAAATTTCCTTCTTGCCAGAAGAGAGCTGTCCAAGAGAGCTGGTTTTGAGAAAAAACTTGTTATAAAAGTCTGACTAAACAGTTCAGAGACCTTGTTAAACTTCCATGACAAGCTTAATGGAGTGGAAGATTTAAGACAATGTTGATGGGATACAGGAGAGTGTTTAAAAAAAATCAACATTTAGAAAAAGTGATTATGGGTTGGGACCAAATCTGTCTTTGTTACTAATACTTCACAGGGGAGTTCTGAGAGATATGCTGTTAGTAAAGTCCTGGGAAGGAGTAAGGAGATGATTTTAATTGTACAAAACTGAGACCTCAAACAGATGAATGATGAAAAAGAACATGCAGATATGTAGCTTATACCCTTCCTTTACTACATAATGATCATGTGTTCAGGGAATGTGATCATGCCATTGAGCTCTATTCTCTTCACCTGTGCAACTGGGCTCCTATTATTCTATTTGACTAGAAGCTAAGGGGAACCACAAGGTCAAACAAAGTATGGCACAAAGAAACCCTTCATTAGACATTAGCTGCTATTACTATCATTACAATGATAATATTCTTATTTTGGCTTCTTCCTTTCAAATATACACTAGTTAACCTCCCAGACTAGTAAACTGAGAATCTGGGAATGAGGACATAGAAAAGAGAGTCTCAAAGTTTGGGTACCTGGGCTTTGTGCAAGTAACCTACTTGTTCCCAATGTCTGTCTAGCTGCAAGTCAAGACACTTTGCATGAAAACTTGAGGATGCCCCTCTGTACCTCTTTCCTTTAATAACTTGTTTAAGTCTGTGTTCTGGAAACCTGTTCTTAAATCTGTAGCCCCTGTGAAAGTGAACTGCATGAAACTTCCAACTTTTGTTTGTATAAATTGAACATTTTCTTGGCCTAGGCCTCTTTAACCTTTCTTTCCTTTTTTTAAATTTTATTTTATTATTTTTTGTGTGTACCGTCAAATTGGATCTGACTGGTACAGGAGGAGATTTTCCCCTCCGTTTCCAGCAGAGCATCTGGTGGATTTGAATGGTGTACCTCTGGGACTACAATGCAGCTTCTTGCCACTAGGCCACCAGAGCTCCCTTCTTTAAGCTTTCTTAGAGAAACTTTGTTACACTGCCCAGAAAGTCACTAATTTATTCAACATCAACTAATACTATACACAAAGCACTTGTCAAAATTAACAGTAATATTACTACAATCAAAGGTAACCATTTGAATAGTAACATACCACACTCACTGAGCATTAGCCATATTCTAGATATTTTGCTAAGAACATCACTGCTTTCAGCCTCACTTCAATCTTGTTTTCGGCATTCTCATCTTGCAGATGAGAAAACAGATTTAGGAAGGTGAAGACATTTTTCCAAAAAGATAAAGCTAATAAAATCAAACTGTTCTCCAGTAGCGTAGTGGGTAAAGGGGAGCTGGGCTTGCTAACCCAAATATGGTTCAAATCCATCAGCTGCTCTGTGGGAGAAAAATGGGCTATCTCCTCCCATGGGATGGCTTACTGCCTCTGAAAACCCCCTAGAGGGTCAGCTATGAGTTAATTCCAACTCAATGGTACCTAACAACAAGTAAAGTCAAAACTCAAGTCAGCCTTCCTAAGGGAAAATTTTAATCACCTCACTCTACCACCCCTCCAATGCAAAGTCCTACCTTCTTTGTACTGCCCCTGACTTTGTAGAGTCCCTTCAATATTTGCTACTGAAGGTAGGAAACCTTACCCCTTTCTTTTTCTTCATTTGATATAACTTTTCACGACTTCCCTCGACATTTAAAGATCTAAGGTGAGCCAGATCTTTCTAAAATCAGGGATCCTTTGTCTTATCTGTTCTCTGACCTCCATCTGACTGGATCACATGGAAAGCCCTCCCAGTAACATTCTGCACTGACAATTTATAAATTTTCAGTTTTTGATGAAAAAGAAAACACCTGCGCATGTACAATCACACACTTACAAATACGTAGGAAGAGATTTGCACCCTAGTTCATAGAGTTGCTTGAGCATCAATACTTCCTGCTCTGTAAAATAGTTATTATAAAACTGCTGAGATGAAGCATAAAGCAATTGACAAAGATTCTGCCCACAAGCAGCTTTGAGTTCAGTGACTGCTGTTTTTCTTCCTCCTCCATCTCCAGAAGAGCCACCCATTCCTTCATCCCTACCCTGGAGGTCTCAAACACTATTAATTCAGGCTGAGGAGGCTCAATGTCAAGAAGACAAAGATTCTCACCACTGGGCCAATTGGCAGCATCAGGATGGATGGTGAAGAGATTGAGATTGTTCAC